CTGCCTGGCCAGCTCTGGGCTAGTGACCATGTCGAACTCCAGAGATGGCATAACTGGCATCATCACCATTCGGCGTACGCACGACTTTGCTGTTGTCGTTGAACGTGAGCTCGTATTCAAGCCTATCACCCAGCGTGGCCTGGTAAAAAGGCACGTGCCCAGTGAGCAACTCGAAGTCGAGCGGCACGCAGAACCTGTTCCCGTACGCTTCGGCGATGGCCTTGTCGAGCTGGTCTGCCGTGAAGCAGTAGCCCACACGCAGCCTAGTCGACTTGTTGATGCCATGGTAGACGTCGTTGACGCGTTTTCCGTCACTTTTCCAGAGGTCACCGTAGCAGTAAAACACGTCGCTGCTCAACACCTCGTTGTCGCTGATCTTGATGGTGGTTTTCTTGGTGATGGCCTGACCTACGTTCCGCATGAGCTCGCGTTTGTCGTTGTTGGAGGTCAATGTAATATTGAACGCCAGTCTAACTGTGTCGGGCACGATGAGGTCATTCTCGACCAGGTTGGGCAATCGAACCAGCAGCGTTTGGTTCTGGTCTATCTTGCTAGGATTATTGGTGATGGTCACAGACTGGCGCATGGCTCTAACGCCTAGAGGCTCCCTTGATCTCCGGAAAGGGTCTAGCTTCCTACCATATGACATTGTTATACACATTAAATATATAAGTTTAACATAATTAATATAATGGATGACATTCCGATTGATGATTTGGGTGCTGGTGCGTCCGCTGATGTGGATTGCGATGACACCTCATTCATGGGGGACGCCGTTAGCAACGAACTTTTAACATCGACCGTCAACGACTAATACAACGCGTTGAACTCAGATAGAAACGACATCAATCCGTGCGGACGAGACTTTCGACAAGAAGGGCACGCTGTGATTGAAAGCTCATCTGGGGATCGATCTCATGAACAAACACACGAGAAAACCGCTTGCGTTGTCTACGCCAGTCAGTCATTATGGTGGGCAACTGATCCATGATGAATTAAACATGCGAGATTAAGCCGGCGCATGGCCTAAGCTTCCCCCAAAGGTCGCCCAAGATCTGCAAGACGTCAGGGCCGAACTCAACGATGATCGAGATGCCAAAGAAACGACGGACAGTATAAAAAAGCTGTTGGGCACGTATCATAACAAACCCTTGCTGTGTTTCGAATTTCCTGTTCGAGAACTGCGAGGGCTAGACAGGGCATTGCGAACCGTTCGTGGAGAACTCGTGAACAATATGGGGAAACTGAACGAAATTGATGAGCACATCACTCGCGAGAAAATAAAACTCAGTCAGGTCCAAGATGACGAGTCTCTGAAAACCATCATCGAAAAATGGTTGCGTGACTTACAAGACGAGAGGCGGACTCGTTTGGAATCCGCTTCCTCAAACCGGGAACAGCTTCGATCTCAGATCAACCGCTTGCGGGAAACCATCGATCGAGTCCTAAATGAGGACACAACATTGGCTGACAGGATCTGAATCCTCTTCCGAGAGCAAGGGATCACCATCGCCAGCGTTCTTACAGCACTGGGCTTCATCATATCAACCCTGGTCATATCGCTGATGGGTGGTGGAGGTGGAGGTATGCCTCCAACACCAAGCCCATCAGGCGACGTCAGAGACTGGGTAAAAAAACATCTGAAATCACTCGGCCAAGCCCTGGCTAAACTTGCTGGTAAGGCCGCCGAAGCCCTGCCCGGCATCCTGGGTAGTATTGTCTCGTGGCTGCTGAGCACGCTGGCTAAAACTGTCATGTGGCTTGGACAAAACCTGTGGGCAGCCATTGTTGCTGGTGTACGTAGCCGCTAAGGAATTTTTTAACCAGATGAGACCTAAGCCGACCGCGATCCCCCCAACCACCAGCGCTGTTTTACGGCTGATCTGCTGTTGATTTTCAGCCACCCGGTGTGGTGGCAGGGGCTGTGGTGCTGGTTGAACCCTGGGCTTCGGGGGTGACACCACTATATCCGTTTCACCCGTGGGAGGTGGGACGTGACTTCTGGTCGGTCGTGGCTATGACTATTTCATTGTTGTAGCCCACCACTTTTTTTACTCTCAGTTGCATATCGCTCGGAGCCATGTACAATCCCGCGTCGAAGACGTAGTCGACTTTCGACCGGGCGTATTCCAACACGTCTTGGTAGCATCGGATAGCACTCGGAAGATCAACTGGAGCATTGATAGCATCCTCGAGTGTCTTAAGCAGTCCCTTACCGAGGATGTTGGAAAGCATTTGCCACTGCGCACCAAACAGCGCCCACACCTACGTTCGAATCGTGTCGTTCAATCTGGTTACACCGGCACAAGTGAACCCTCTCTACGTGTCCAGCATGAACTTTTTCCAATCATCCGCAGCTGGCTGCTCGAACCTCCAGACTCGATAATCCTTGCTGTTGTTGAAAGCCATGTAACGGTCATCCCACTCGTTCGTCATGATATGTTACCTATTGCCTTACCCTTATTCACCTACACAAGGAACTAGGCCTTACAAGCCTCAAGTACATTGATCGATTATTAAATGAAGACCAATTAAAAAATATCTTGTAGCATATATTATACGCACAGGATGGGCCTGTACCCAGTTGTAGTGGAAGTAGCGAAGACACTGAAAACCGTAGACGGATTCGCTTGAGGCAGTTATGCGACATAAAACACCAACTATAGTTTGGCATGAAATGCATGTGGACCTGGTTTTTTTTTAATATCTTTTCATCCAATGACCCAATCGATCTCAAACTGTGCAAGTGGATGTTTTGTCAGACAACCTAATCACATTGTAAATCACCGATTTTATGCATTTTAAAGAATTCGTCTATGTAACTGTCAACAAAATAAACAGCAGAACGCAAACTCCTGTCAGAGGGAGGGAGCAAATGACCAGTATCAGCAGCAGTGTTGGGTCATAAAGGTAAATGCACGTGCAGTTCATGATAGTTACCAGTGCACTGCACAGTGATAGACCGTTTGGATCATTCACATTGACTACTTCTAGCTGTCATCATGAAAGCTGATTCAGATGATGCTAAACGTTAAATTAGAAATGTGTTGAATTTTTTTAAAAAGAGCAAACGTAGCAAACCGATTAATAAGGTGTCGGATTACATGAAACATACAACTTTTGCTCTTGGCATGAAAAAGAACATCGTGCTAAAAATTGTGAAAAATAAACCAACAACCAATAAACAAAACCTTGTACAAAAAGGTAGGCATCCAAAGTTAGATTCTTTTGACATCAGGGTCATCAGAGATGTCATTCGCCGTCTATTTACTAGAAATGAACACCTCTTCATACCTGTCACGTGCATAGCTGACCTACATTGACGAACGTTGACCTTTATGACCCAACACTGCCGCTGTTACAGGTCATTGGCTCCCTCCCTCTGCAAGCAGTTTGCGTTCTGCTGTGTATTTTGTTGACAGTTACATAGACAGATTCTTTAATACAAATGCATAAAATCGGTGATTTACAATGTGATTAGGTTGTCTGACAAAACATCACTTGCACAGTTTGAGATCGATTGGGTCATTGGATGAAGAGATATTGACAAAAAACCGGGTCCACATGCATTTCATGCCAAACTATAGAGCAAGACCGCAACAGACGGGCAGCGTTATGCAAGAAGTACCATAGAGCTTTCAATGTCGTGGACGGGGCCGATATCGCCCTTATGACAACCTGCATGGGACTAGGGGCAGTAGGTGTCAGTTTGTTGACCACCATCGTAGCCGCACCCACGGTGCTGGGCATCAAGATAACAGCTGGGGTGTCAGCGTTGATAGGGTTGGTGTTTAAGTTTGCCTCCCGCAGACTGCATCGTAAAGCTTTGAAGCATGACGAGATCAGGGTATTAGCTGAAGCAAAGCTGAACACGGTAAGCGACCATATCTCCACGGCACTCACAGAGAGTAAAGTCTCCACGGAGGAGTTTCATTTGGTCCTCTCTGAACTCGCAAAATTTCACAGAATGAAACAAGAAATTCGGTCCAAGTCTCGTAAGACTGCCGTCAGCGAAGCCGAGAAAAAAAAGTACATAGAACAAGGCATTCAACAAGCCCGGCAAGCCTTCATCACGAAGACCAAAGAGCTCATAGGCAATTCACATTAAACTGTTTCGCTGAGGTCAACATGATATAGGGTGATCACAATAGTATGACGTGATCAGGAAAGTGTTGGTTCGCGGTCATAGTGACCAGGAAGTTAACTGGGGGTTCAAACAGTGGTATATACAATAGCGGAGAGAGATAAGGGCCTGACAAAAGCTTTATTTCATAAATGAACCAGACATACCAGTGATCAACAGCATGAGCATCGATCTACGCAACTGGGATACGATGACATGTGTCAACCAAGTCAGTAAGTCTGACCACCCGATCCCGTTAGTCGCCTCTTACTACAAGCATGGGTTGCTGAAGACCAATTCTTAACCCGGATCTTCTCGGGTCAGTTGGTTAGAGATATGGGTCTGTAATTTGATGGATCTGTGTGATCCTTTGCCAGGGATATTGCAACCAAGAGTCACGAGCAACACTGTCGGGTTACAATGATACGCCATGGACCAAGTCACATGATCCGTTTGCTCGCCACTGAAGATACATGTTGGGTACGTACATTAACCCGTCAACAGCATGGGCATCGATCTACGCAAATGGGATACAATGACATGTGTCAACCAAGTCAGCGAGCCTGACCACCCGATCCCGTTAATTGCCTTTTACTACAAGATCCGGTCAGTGGCCTCATCTTCACGGGGACGTGTTTGTGAAAGGTCCATGACTGACTGACTGACTGACTGAGTTTAGTTTTACGCCGCTTTTAGCAATTTTCCAGCAATATCACTGCGGGGGACACCAGAAATGGGCTTAACACATTGTGCCCATGTGGGGAATCTAACCCGGGCCTTCGGCGTGACGAGCCAACGCTTCAACCACTAGGCTACCCCACCGCCCCTGAAAGGTCCATGAAAGATGCAGATAGTTACAAAAGAAAGGCAAACTTACCCATAACCACAAGGATGAGGCACGACGCATATACCATCGTTATAAGATTCCGATAGCTACTTAGACAAATGTCGTCCCTGAAATTACGCAGTAAATGATAAAAGCTTTCCGCTTTATATCTGTGTTTGAAAGCAGCTGATAAGGGAGTAGGTCACCTGGTGGACCACTGACAGTATATGACTGCAACATTCCAGGAGTACCAAGGAAAGAGCAAACGAAGGTCAGACTGCTCCTTGGTAGCCGAGGTATGGTTGATTACCGTACCTTCAGGAACTTCCTCGTCACCTCAGAAAACTTCTGTTCAGTTGTAACATGTAAAGTTAGGGAGGGACTTTAGGTTCAACACTTGTTGGATTACCTAAATCCATGATCGGGGAGAGTCGAACCCGGACCTTCGTTGTGACGTGTCAACAGCTTGACCACTGGTATGGTCACCTTAGCTTATCACCTCACGAAGATCAGGCTGTTAGTGTTGTTTATTCATGGTAGATGCATAAAGAAAGTTGTTTATTTTTCTGCAAATCGACAGGAACCGCTGAAGGAGAGTGGGTATTGGGGTATGTTGGTGTGTGATATTTTTTACCTAAAGTTCAACAAACGAAATGGTATTCTGTATGAGTGAGTGAGTATGGTTTTACGCCGCTTTTATCAATATTCCAGCAATTACAAATGAATAATATATGTGATTGCCTACATTCCCGTGCTAGAAGGGGGTGGCTCATGGACCAATCTGGTGATGTTGACATCTTGATAATGCATGTCAAATAGGTGGCTCATAGACCAATCTGGTGATGTTTGACCTCTTGATAATGTATGTCAAGGAGGTGGCTCATGGACCAACCTGGTGATGTTGACCTCTTAATAATGCATGTCTCTAATTTCTTGTCAAGGGCCGAAGTCTGGCATTAAGTTGGGAGACAAATACTGCTATTAAAAAGTTGTGAAATATAAAAACTGGAGCTCTTGCAATATTGTTCGACATGAAAGGGAAGTTGACTATTGGAAAGTTGAAATCATCTTTTGTCATACAGCCTTGCGGAGAGTATGTTGTCTCTCTGAATCTTTAAGCATAGATCTAAATATGAAACAGTTGAGGCGGTCTCACTTGTCTCCTTAATTTCAAGTTCAGGAGGCTAAATCAATGGAGTGAGTGAATTTAGTCTTATGCCACACTCACAAAGTTCAGGTGGGTAAATCAGTGGAAGGCATTTGGCTATTTGATGGTTATTGAACGATATTAAATCATTGATATACCCGAAGCTCAAGTTCACCTTCTTGGCCGAATTACTTTGTTTTGATTTTGCCAACCCACGCAGAAATTCTGATTCATAAGCACAAAGAAACAGATCCGCAAGGAGATACCTATTTCTTATCGAAATGTTTTACCCCCCGAATTGTGCAAAGATTTTATCAATGAGAAAGTCCCACATTTCACATATTGTTTTCTCGGTAAACTTCAAATGACATTTGCATTCATCTTTGACAAATTGTCCAGAGCCTTTGAAGATAGATAATGCTGGTATATGTGTGTTCTTCACGTTTGATATTTGATTACAAATGGATCAAAGAATGGACTTGTCTTCAGGTCAAACCAAACGTTGACACCACCGTTAGATGGTTTGGGTTGATTTCCTATGTGGCATTATTTGATATGTCACGTATAACAAGCTCTTTGATTAAACAATTTATGTAATAATGTTGACATGTAATGGTTATGTTATTTGAGGCCATGTCAGTGGGAATAACTACACACATTTCATGCAGGGCAGCCAGACTTAGGAAGGATGACAGCTGGCTGCAGCCTGGTTCCCAGGGTCTGCTGTGGTATGCTTCGACACTGACCTCGGTAAGGTCTGTCCAATAGAGGTTACAGGGCAACACGCCATATATTTAGTGAAGAAAAATCCGAGAAGTGGTGGTTAGAATTTTTTCATAGCATTCCATCGATACTATATTAAAGTATACGTCACCAGAACAATGCCCATCTTGTTATTGTTGGAGCACGAAATCATTATTGAAGCTGTTTCGAGACACCAATGGCGTCGTTACATGGGCGAAATGTATACAATGACACACAACCCATTTTTAACAAAACAATAAAAAATATTTTCACCCTCCATTCAGTTGTAGGTGTTTTAGAGGTTATATAAATAAAAACGAAAACAAAGCAATATTTATAGGAGGGCTTCAGTGATATTAAGTATCACTTGAATTAAACAGGAATAGTGTTATCATTCTTGTTTTAAGTAGTTCTGATAATCATATGCCAATAAGGGATCCTTCCAGAGGGCTTCGAGTGGCTATTCGACTTGTCCCTGAATAACACAAGTTGGTCACAAATGTACCGGGCATTCGGGCATTTGTAACTACTTGCCCCATTCCGTGACCTACAAGAAAACTTGTACCTGTATAATACGCCATTATTGCCAAGAATCATGTTAAACCAATCAAATAGCATGTAGTAATATGTAAAATGATGTGAAATAGTTTCTGTGCGATTATCGATTTTCATGATTATTTCCGTGATTATAAAATTATCTTGTTACTGATATCTGTAGAGGGTGTGTGCGTGTGTGTGTGTGTGTGTGCGTGTGTGTGTGCGTGCATGCGTGTGTGTGTGGTGTGGTGGTGGTGTATAAAACATTTTTGGTGACCTAATTGAACACCTGGCTGACCTCATTTCACAGGGATCAATGACCTTGTACTGAGCTGACCGTGGGAAAAAACAATGTTAGTAATGTTAAGGAAACTTTCCCAGTAAAAGGAAAGATTTCAATAAGGGATATGGTATTTATCAATTTACACTGGAACCCAAACGCATAGAAGGGGACTGTTTGAATACCTTAAAACAAGACAACTTTCATTTGGAGTTACATTTTAAGTCAGCGCTTCTGGAAGGCATCATCTGTCTCATTTACAGTGAGGATCAGTTGATTTTTAAGTGGACGAAGTACGTAACATTAGCAACACCATGAATACAGTGAGACAGCGCAGTAGCCCTGATAACTGCTTCACAGCGAGCATGATGCAGACGCCCGGGCTGCACCCGCTAAAGTGGACTCAAGACTCAAGAGAGTAGTCGTGCACTTTATCAGGTGCACTTTTTGGGGGCCTCGAATGCGTTCAAACGGATTAGCCATATTCCAGACAGGCTTTGCAGGACCCTGTCCCCGTTGAGGTAGCAGCCAGCTGGAGCAGCAGCTGATGAAACATCTCTATTACTGGGTCTACAAGACACCGTCTCATGTCATACAATGACAGATGAGAATTGGTTCCAAGCACACCCTCGTCGATTGGAACATGTTTTGTTGCAAGGTCTGCATGAATGTCATCGAGTCTGACAGTGAGATTGTCGGCAGCCCTGGCACCACGCTGGAGATAGATGAATCAAAGTTCGGGAACAGAATGTACCACCATGGTAAAAGGGTTGAGGGCGTGTTGGTACTTGGCGGTATCGAACTGGAAAACTGCAACGTCTAAACTCTAAACCCGGTAATTGAGGAGCAGGTGATGAAGGGCACTACCATCACCACCAACTGCTGGAAGGCATACAGCAAACTGGGACAACTTGGTTACACACACCTGATGGTGAACAATAGTGATCACTTCAAGGATCCTGTCACTGGTGCTCACACGAACACCATCGAAGTAACGTAGAAGGCGGTGAAGAATACCGGACTACCTAGGTCAGGAACACAGAAGGCTTTATACGACTCCTGCTTCATGGAAATCATCTTCTGCCGCAAGTACTTGTCTGGGGCTCCAAATCAAAACAACAACCGAAACACGTCTGCAGTTTCCCTTTGTGAAACCAAGCTGCACTGACAAGTCCTGGATGGGATGATATCAAATTGAACCGGACCCACTGAAGGTAAGTCAAACCCCAACCCTAAACCTTAACGATCACTGGCAGTGAAAGGGCGACGGATCAGTGATCGCGCTAAGCTATAAATCTAACCTGTATGTTCTCGGGTCACGCTTTTAAAGAAGACTCGTTTGAAAGTTCTTGAATAGTTATTACACTGAGACAAAAAAGCGTACTCTATAATTATACCTATGTATTTTTAAGAAGTGATATTATATACGTGCCATTCTGGAACTAATGCTTTTGTCACTGCAAAAAGTGTCGTGTCAGACCAGACACTTGTATGGCTTCCAAACCAAACCTTGGAAATTTTTATGAGTACACGTTCATGATTATTAACATACTCGATCAGAAAAAAGTCAAATTATTGCCGGCAAAGGCCAATGACCCGTCTTTATTCCATTTTATATGATCAAACAGACAGGTAAGATCACTCTTTGGTGACTCTTTCAACGTCAATCCATCTGGGCTTTCCTCAATTCGGTACTTCCACATTTTGCCAGACTTCTTAGTATATACTGCTTTGCCAAAGATCCTGTTGCAGACGAACAAACGTTTAGTTCCTAGTTTTGCATAGTTTCTGTAAAGTAAAAATGTAATTTCACAATCTCATAAACAATTAGAACTGGTTCTGCAGCTCAGCTGGCCCCGATGTAGTGATCGTAATACTACGACTGATATAGCATATAGTTAAAAAAGCATCAGTGTTTCCATGATGGCGTTGTCGCCATCGTTTCATAAAAAGTGACCACTTTGGAGGTGAAAGTCAAAGTAAACATTAGTGAGTGAATGAGTTAGTTAAGATTTCTAGTCACATCGGCAGTATTTCAGCCATACAATGACCAAAAAAGGTTATGCATTCATGACACATGAATCGAGAATGTAGAAACCTGTTAAAGAACTATATAAAATAACAACCAGGAAATCACAGATACTGGTGTAAATCCTGCATGTTAATCTAAACCCATAGATAATACAAACTATAAGATGAGCTCTAAATCGTCAACAACTGAAGGTAGATCACTAACCATGAACCATGGGGAAAATCCAACATGGCTAGGTGACCAATAAAAACGATGTCGCAGTAACAAGAACGTTGAATAATTCAATAATTTCAATAGCGCATACCTGGAGTGTTTCAGCCAATCAGATGGCTAGTTTTCACTACAAAAATGTCTTGGTTTCCTGAAACCTGGAAACCATCCGTATACTGGATAATTTGGGAATCCAGTTGGTTTCCATTCACCGAAACTGAGTAACTGACACTGGAAACAAAGTCTACGTTTACAA